GGGAAGGATTTTCCAGAATACCCATACTCGGGTGAGCGTTGGATCACCTATAATAGGGCGTGGGGCTAGGAGATATGCGGTTATAGGGCCCGCAGCTCCTAGGTGCGCCATGATCAGGCTTGCGGCTGTGCCATTGCCATGGGGCATCATGTATCGGGTAGTTGGTTTAGTGTGGGGGAATTTTTTGCAGATTGTCATATTATTGGTCTTTCAGTTCAGTGTTCATCCCTGTCGGCTTTGCACAGGGGGAATCAGTTTTCACGCCTTGCATTCTTCTGGATAGTCTAGGGTCACGGAGATATGTACGTGGTGGATGAGGGTGCTTTTCAGGAGAGTGTGCTACTATCATATTTTTTTAGTGCTTTTCAGGTTTTATTCGGTTTCCGGAGTCGTTGTTAGCTGTATGGAGACATTATAAGTATCTACCGCCCTGTCCTTAGCTAGCATTTCCGTCGATCGTCTACCGTAGCCTACCATCCTTTCCGCCCCCCACTGAGCTGAGAGCCAACCAGTATGATACTGTGATTGCGCATTTACCGCTTCATCCTCTACTGCTCTCATTTGCGTTCCACCAGTACGCAACCGAAAGATTCCTGAACCTCCGAATTCACACTGTAATTAGGTGGCCTGGATAGTTCACGGTTCAGTGAGGGGTGCGGTTCCGGGGGAGTAGAGGACAGCTGGATGCGACTGTAGAGGATTTGATTGGTGAGGCTGGTAGTATGGACATCCCCATCGTCTGCCTACACTTGAGCACTGCTCGTAACACAGCATTCAAGCAGCCACCGGGCAACTGGGACTCTCTCTCTCTTTGCCGTTTTTGGAGGCTGCCCCCCTTTTTTCATTTTTCAAACGTGCCAAATGCTTGTCGACGTGTGAAATTCCCGGTCTGGGAACTATAATAGCGGTACCGCATTTGTCTACCTACGCATCTCTTGTATATATCAGACTCAAGGGTTCTGCAGGTAGCCTGCAGAAGAAACTTTCTTGGCACATTATTAGAGAGCGTAATAAAATATCAGCCTCAAATCTCTGTCCTTGACTCATTCCCCGCTCCGTCTGAGCCTCAGTCGGGTTTGCTATAGGCATGCCACCGGAATGAGTGCACATTGCCTTCCGGTGTTGCTACCTTGTAAATTACTGTACTGTACGCGCACTTGTACTAGCACAAGTATCATTGCTTAAGACCCGATCCTCCCCCTCCCCAACCAAGCAAAACAGAGTCTCTCACTATTGTCATTGCCCCCACCCCGCCCTTCCTCTCTCTTGTCAACATAGCGAACATGGATATCCTTGAATCCCAGAAACCAAACTCTCCACAAAACATCAACTGCGGCAATGTGAGCGGCAGCTATAACAACACCTGGAACAACTGCGACTTTTCAGCGACTGACGAGAGACATCAGATTCTCGAATGGTTATCTCCGTTGGTGCTGGGAAAGAGGCATCGGGATGTCAGAAGAAGATCTCATGTGGAGGGGTAGGTAATTAGTTTTTAGAAACAGACGAGTTTGTAAGTTGGAATACTGGTGAGGATGCGGTGGCTAGCCCTGTTATGTTTTGGTACGGGGATCCCGGCGTTGGGAAAACACACCTCACGTATGAGACAACACCCTCTTCCGCAGATTGGGGAGGCTAACTGGTAGTACCTCTGCGCAGCTCGTTAGTTCTAGAAACCTTATTCGGTCAAAGAAATGGACAACAGGTCACCATTGCATGCCTGTACTGCGACTTCCACATCCAGAAGGGAGAGTCCACCACCTCCATTTCAGGAGCCATACTCAAGCAAGTCACAAGTGGCCTAGAGCGTGTTCCGGAGGAAAGCGAGTTGGCATTTCAGAGATCAAAAAAACTACTGGACGGTCGAGAGATCGAATCGGGAGAAATGCTCAAGCTGCTGATCTCATCACTCCAGACACTGAAAAGGAGCCACAGTTGCATCGACACGTTGGATGAGCTTCACAGAGAGCATCGACCGGAGCTTCTTAAATCATTAGCCCAGATAATTCAGGAGTCACCCCATACCCGGCTATTCCTCACCGGTCGGCTACCAATTCGGGATGAGATAGAGAGAAATCTTATCGGAAGCGTCAAGATCCGAATCAAAGCAACAGAGGAAGATGTCAAGAAATATCTCACCATGAGATTGAGCAATGATACACAGCCTGGGGAGATGGACCAGGATTTAAGGGAGGAAATCCTTTGCACCATTCCCCGGGAGATTTCTAGAATGTATGTGAGAGATGTCATGACATTGAGGAGATTTATTTGCAGGTTATTTGCTAACATGATTGCAGATTTCTCCTTGCCTCCTTGAGCGTGAACGAAATCCTAGCCCAGTCAACCATTTCCCGGAGAAGAAAAACACCTAAAAAGATGACCAATGGCCTAGAAATGGGTGGTGCCTATGCCGCAACCCTGGAGCGTATGAGGGAACAGGATGGAGACAAGCTGAAGCTCGCGGTTGAGCTGCTAATGTGGATCTCGCGGTCCGAGCGGCCATTGGCTGCGGGGGAGTTATGTCATGCTTTAGCAATTGAAAAGGGTTCGATAAAGCTTGGCTCAGAGAATGTGCCTGCAATAGGGACGCTGTTAACCTGTTGCCTCAGATTAGTCACTATGGATGATGAGGGGTCAAGGGTTTGGTTGATACCGTTCCCGGCAAGAAGAACCTGAACACAGGGATTAAGGATTTGTATGGCAAATTGTCTGTGCGTATCCGAGCGCTCATACAAGGACTAAATTCAGACACAAATGTTCAGGTTCTACTTGCCAGTAACTTGTGCGCAGTGGGCAGGCGGCGCAAGAAAAACAAAGCCTGATCGCCCACCCAAGCCGCTGTAAGCATCGGTATGACAACCTCCAAATGAGGGGTACCAAGACGAAGGATGAGAAGCAAGGAGAGAGGGGTATACCATCTTTAAATAATTCATGGTCAGGAGGTTGTAAGGTTGGCGAGGGTGCGGTAGTGAAAGTCACCCGTTGTGTAACTGGGAAACGGTGGTAAAGAGCAAAGGAGATCCCGCAGATCAGCACTGAGTGCACCATAGTGCATCAGCAGAGGAGCATGGAAGAGGGAAGGATGTTCAGAAAAACGAGAATCCGTCATAGCCACGACCAGTACCCGGCTATGGCATGGCGGCTCATCTGTTCCTCCCCCTTCTCCTTCCCATCTTACCCACCGTCAATATCTCCCTTATGCTCCAACATTGTCCAGAAAAGTAGCCTCCCAACAGCCCCCTCCACCATCTCCCGAACGGCCGATACAAATGCTGAGCTTGAACCATCAGGTACAATACCGGAAAACGCTAACCCGCGCTATCAATTCCGGTCTTGGTAGTGATCTCATTGGCCATGAGTAACGTATTTTACGTGGAAGCGGCTCTTCACCGGGATGCGGCTCACTCATGGCAACCAGTAGAAAATGAAATACTTTTTCAATTATATCTACGAATAATCATGTGACCACCTTGAAATCTTATCAGTAAGTGCTTTGAAATATGGAGAATCAGACTATGTAAATTATGTTTCATAATTGTCAATTATTCTTCTTGTACAATGTTTTTAAAATTGTTTCTTCCAAATAAATTTACTATGACTCCCTTTGCAAATAAAAATAAAAAAATAACTTAGAAGTACCTTTGTAGGTAATTCAAGAGATTGAATAAGTCATATAGACTCATAGTCAATAGTTATTACTCTTGCTTATTATCTATTTTCAATGTTATAATACCTAGTAGATTCTACTAAAAAGTAAGCAAATTATATATAAATTTAGAGTATTTGATACTAGTATAACTTACTCCTATGATAACCTATAACTTTGGCCTTTTGAAATCTACTTTACAATGTTCATTAAGACAAGCAAACCAGTTTCAAAAATGCAGGAATACATTTTCCATATTATATACACTTAATATAATTGGTAGTAGAATGCTAGATCAAAAACATGAAATCTTTATTGTCAATCTAAATACTTAGTACCAGTTAGCGAGGCAGCTTGAGCTTTTGCTATTATGTACACTCTAATTAGGAGATTAAGATATAAGTCTAAAACTTTGATTAAATACTAGTCTTCTATTGGATTACAGTATAATTAAAATACTATAATTATAACTAATAACTCCAATAATAATTGATATAATTAGATTATTCCAATCAAATATTGATATAAATTAGCTAACATACTCACTAAATATATAGGTGATAATTAGTAGTAAGTGTTTAGATAGTATAGTGATTTTATTTTTGTAATCTTGTTATTGTATAATAATTTACTGATAGTTTAAAGTTTATTTTGATAATGGAGATACAGAATATAGAAAACATACCTGTCAAACTTCAAATTGAGCATACTTACCCAGATGGCATCTATAAAGTTGAATACAAAAGATCTAAGTTATAGGTTATTACGGTAACTGGTTATGCTGTTATCAAATGTACGAAATTTGTATGTAATTTACTCATTTTCTACCAGTTTCTACTGTGCACTACAATATTACAAATTGCCAATAAATATCCTAGAGAACTATTAGCTACAAGCTTATAAGACTTATTCAGTCTCTTGATTGTCTCATAAAGCTGTTTCTTCTATGTTTTTCAATTTTTATCCATCAAAAAACACTAACAGTTTTGTTTCAGAGACATAATCTTAAAATCCTTGCCCAGGAGGAACAACTTATAATTATGAATTTCTTTTTGCATATTTGAGTTCTCCATATTCCAAAGCACCCACTGATGATTTCTTGAGATGATCTCACAAGTATTCATACAGATAATTCCAGATGTATTTGGTTTTCTACTCGTTGCAATGGTTGAGCCGCATCCCGGTGAAGAGCCGCATCCCGGTAAAGTACGTTACCCGGGTGGCATGCACACTCTGGTATGGGGAAGGTTTGTTGTGCCCATATCGTTGTCTGAGTCCCAGATCAAGAGGCAACATTATTAATTACTACTAGGTCGCATATTCGTAGATATACAAATCCTAGCGGCCCCTGTTAATCGCCTCCCTCGTCCTCTTCCGCCGCCTCCTCATCACCATTAGTATCTACATTATTGGCATGTGTATCGGCACCCGAATAGCCGCAATTAGCAGGCTCCGTGGGAACTCCAGCGAGGATGGAGAATTGCCCACCGGCAGCGGCAAAGGTCATTCTGACACCTCTGGTGGCCGTGTTTTCAATCCTTGTAGGGGTCATGATCTCGTCATCAGCGTCGGGGCTGAGGCTGGTTTGATAACTGCTACTGAAGCTCTAAGAGGATGCTTGTCCCTCCATCGAGATGGCAATATTGTGGTCCGTGCCACAGCCAATGGTGGAGAACCTGATGCCAGGGACAGCATGTGGGGTCCTGAGGTAGCGGGGGTTGCCCCTCGCGTCACAGACGCAACCATCCACTGAAAGCGCTGCAGGGTCTATACCGAGCTGTCCACTGTCAAGACGGCCCCAGACCAGGAGCTCACCGTTCCCGGTCAGGGCGGTTGAGTGATGTTCTCCGGCAGATATCTGAACGATTATGTACCCTGCAAGAGACTTGACGACGGTAGGAACAGGAATCACAGTACTATCTTCCTCGGTGCACTGAGGCTCGCATATCCCACATTGCCCATATTGATTGAGTCCCCATGCCCAGACCCTGCCATCCCAGGTAATTGCGAAAGAACGATAGGAGCCGGTCGCGACGTACTTGACCTGGCGCCGGGAAGGGACACCTGGCGAGGGTTCAGCCTGGTGAGGCGATGTCTCTCAGAAATGCGCCTCCCGAGCTGGTATTGCTGACCGTCGCCCCACCTGTACACATCTCCTTCCTTCGTAAGGCCAAGGACATGATCAGTGCCGATACTGACCCGAACGATGTCCCTGGGCGTAGGTAGCAGGACTGGAACATCCTGTACACTAGTCCTCTCATTGAATCCGAGAATGCCGTCGGCGCACTAAACAATAAATTAACCCTACTAATCCTGAATGGAGAATTAATTACATACCCTAAATGTTCCCCATCCGTAAACCCTGCCGGTGTCGGTAACAGCGATCGAGATACTGTCACTGGCAGCAATGCTCGTAATCACAGTCCCCTCCGGAAACCCTGTAATCAGCATTGGTGTGCTCTCCAATGGATTCAAAGGCACTTCTTCATCACTGTCGCTGTCGCCATCATCACCGGAATAGACCACCCTGGTCAGAGGTGTATGCGTAGTCGCTCTCCCAAGAGCGTACTGATCATCATTGACACCCCACGAGTATACCCTCCCCTCGTATGATGGGGCTAAGCCATGCATACCACCAACTGCAATGGCGACTATTCCCACCTTATTGGGGAGGAGATGAGCATGCAATCTAGGACGCTTGACAGCCTTTGCGTTAACCTCTGGCCCAAGACCCAGCTCAGCATTGTCACCAGTACCAAATGCATATATGTTCAATTTCTAGGTCGGGAGAGGGTTGATTATGGCCGAGAAGGGTTCGATGGTACCGGCCCTGCGGGCCCTCACCAATCTACCCCGAACGGCGTGTGGTGTTCGGTTGAGAATATCTGCAAGGGTGCTTGTGTCTGTCCCTCGCGCGTATTCCTCACACAGTCGCGCATCCTCAGCAACTGTCCACCTACGCCGCCTTGCCACGATGGGTGTAATGGCCCCTGCCCTTCGTAACTTTGCCAATCTGATCTGAATAGCACGTGGTGTCCAGTTGAGGGTAGCCGCGATCTGGGGGATGCCTGCTCGCAGTGCAAGCCCCTCACGCAGTCACCGGTCATCACTGTCTGCCCATCTACGCCGCGGTAGTACCCCCATGCCATGCCCACCCCCCTCCCCCCTGTTCGACCACAAGGTGCGCGAATCGGACCCGCTTGGCACCCGGGCACGATACAGAGGGAGCCGGCAAGCATTTAGCCACTGCGGGACGATGTCTGTTGTTTTGCGGTTTGAGGGATGTGGGTAAGGGTGGAGATTCTATCTCGGTATCTATCTCGGTATCTATTTCGGTATCTATTTCGGTATCTGTTGTAGGGGTGCCAGGGACGTCCATCATCTCCGCCTCCACTCCGGGGTCTTGCACAGGTCTGTTGTTTTGCGGTTTGAGGGATGTGCATAAGGGTGGAGATTCTATCTCGGTATCTATCTCGGTATCTATCTCGGTATCTATTTCGGTATCTATTTTGGTATCTATTTCGGTGTCTGTTGGAAGGGCGCCAGGGACGTCCATCATCTCCGCCTCCAAATCGCGGCCGTCTGATGACGGGACATCACGGCCAGTTAATGATATTGTTTTGGATTCCTGTGACAGCACAATGCCACCGCTCCTGTGTTCTATGTGCTCGCGGGCACGATCCGGACTCACACGCTATCGCTTGTTGGAAGTATCCGTTGGAGGATATGGAGGTGGTAGGGATTGGGCAACAGTGCGCCCCGCCGGCATGTGTCCCTTATCAGTGGTACCGTTCATCTCCACCCCAAGATATCTAATCTAAGATTAAGGGTGGAGACCTAATGCGAAGGTTCGGTGGATGGGCTTTAACTTCGAGACTTGGAGTGGAGATTATGGACTTTTGTGAGTATCCTCAAGCAGCAAGCGGAGATTAGCGCGGAAGGGGGATCACGAGTATATAACCCTTTGGGGGTCCTGCCCCGCTCTGCGACACTGGCTTAGAAAACCCCCCAACGCTCAACCCTCCGCATCACACCACATCCGAAGGGAAAGGGTTGAGGTGAGCTGTCATGATGGGAGGCAACTCGGTGGAGGACGTTTGTAAACACGACTGGTGTATTATTCCGCGAATAGCGGGGGCCCAGGGTCGAGCCCTGGTCCACTGCTGTTGTGCGCCTCTTGGTGGTTGGGGATAAGAACATCAGGCTCAAATGCTAACAAATACCCAAGATGCAATAAACTCTCGGTAAATTCACTACCATATCGGTGATCGGGGGCTTGGTAGGCTAGCCGGGGGTGTGCGCGATGAAAGTTACAACAACTAAGCCACAAGAGGCTTAGTTGAATACCTGTTAATGAGATCTACTCGCCCAAGCTACGCCCTGTCTGGAAAGAACTACCTGTATCCGACAAATGCTAAGCCCGGTCAGGCATAATCACGCATTCCGAATCACAATAGAAAGAACAAAAAGAAGAAACAGAGAGAATTCGATCGCCAAGATAAGGCAGGTGGCTGTTATCCTTATCGGCTGCGCCCATGCATCCCGCCTGTAGGGGTTAGGGTTATTAGAGAGCTGCAACAGTCGCTACCTGGTAACGTGTCTCAGAGCAAGATCTATATAAACCACGCAAGCTCTGGCAACCTTTCTTTCCATCACTTCAACCGCCGGAGCGACCCCACCTCACCATGGCTGCCCAAATCCTTGCACAAATCCACAAGGCGTTTGAAACTCGCACCCGTGAGTTTCTTACGTTCTCGGGGCTTCCTCCAACTGTGTCCGCCAAAATTCTAGAAAACCTTCTCTCAGAGAAAGATCCCTTT